ATATAAAAGCCATTTTTAGTTCATGCATGATACAATTACAGGCTGCCTCAGGCTATGATTTTCAGTCCCCGCTCTAGAGTATGAAAATCAGCCCTTCTGAGGGTTCTCTAACTTCTATGCTAAATCCTGCCTGCTTCTAGTAGCAAGAGTCGCTTCTGTTTTCTACAATTGAATTTGGCAAATTTATACAGAACATTACTCACCTTGTTCTACATTGTAAGGGAATGGAGACTGCAAGACTTTAAGCAACTTTCCAAGGTCATATACCTTCTAAGGGACAGAACTAGAAAGAGAATCCATAACTGCTCAACTCCAAAGCTGACAATTTCATCCGCTGCATCATTGGCTCTCCATTATTATTAAGACTTTCTTTAGCTTGAGTAATAAACCTTCACTGATCCATTTATTTAGCTTACAAATATTTATTGAATGACAACTATGCACAAGATATGAAAAATAGGAGCATTGCCTTTGACCCACATTTAAGCACATTTTTTAAAAGGCTCAAGTTTTCTATCAATTTATGAGATACAAAATGAAGTGGAAAACTGACAATTATTTGCTTACTTCAATCAATATAGACAGCAAGTCAGATAATTCAGACTTGATCCAGTTAACCCCAAATTGGCAGAGATACAAACATTTTATGTTCTCTGTCTTAATCTGTTTTGTGTTGCTGTAAGAGAATACCTGAGACTGGGTAATTTATAGCAAACAGGAATTTACTGGCTCACAGTTCTGGAAGCTGAGAGGTCTTCAGAGGGGCCACATCTCGTGAGGACCTTGTTACTGTGTCATTCCATGGCAGAAAGCAAAAGGGCAAGCAAGAGAGGGCAAAACAAAGAGAACAAGAGAGGGCCAAACTTGGCTTTTATGACAAACCTACTCTCGATAACAAACTTACTCTGACGATAACGACATTCATCCATTTGTAGGTTAGAGTTCCCATGATCTATTAATCGCTTCTTAAAGACCCCACCTGTCAGTATGATTGCACTGGGGGTTTAAATTCCAACACATGAACTTTTTAGGAGAAACATTCGAACCGTAGCATTCTCACTTTTTCTAATTCAAATACTTCTTTAGCTTCAGACATAAGGAGGAACTAAAATAGATACAGAATCAAGCAGTTACAGGCTACGTTTAAAATAACATTATGGATTGATCAGTCCTTAGGCTAATATGTTAGCTTATTTTTTTTCCCAGCACATTTACTTAGCCGCATGCTTGTTCACTCCCGCTAGTTTTTGGCAGTTGTCCTCCAACACTTATGCCTTTCCTAATATACTGCAAGCGGGTCACTTATTATTTTTCTTTTAAACATTTAATAATGTCCCATATCTTAAATTGGTTTCTCTTTGGACAAGCCATCCATTATCAATCCTTCCTGAAATTGCAATTAAAATACAAACTAGATATTTATGATGATGTATGATATTCTTCATTTAAAACTCCCAAATAAGGCCGGGGGCGGTGGCTCAAGCCTGTAATCCCAGCACTTTGGGAGGTCGAGACGGGCGGATCACGAGGTCAGGAGATCGAGACCATCCTGGCTAACATGGTGAAACCCCGTCTCTACTAAAAAATACAGAAAAACTAGCCGGGCGAGGTGGCGGACGCCTGTAGTCCCAGCTACTTGGGAGGCTGAGGCAGGAGAATGGCATAAACCCGGGAGGCGGAGCTTGCAGTGAGCTGCGATCTGGCCACTGCACTCCAGCCTGGGCCACAGAGCCAGACTCCCTCGGCCGGGCGGGTGGCCTGCCTGTAATCCCAGCACTTTGGGAGGTCGAGACGGGCGGATCACGAGGCCAGGAGATCGAGACCATCCTGGCTAACATGGTGAAACCCCGTCTCTACTAAAAATACAAAAAACTAGCCGGGCGAGGTGGCGGGCGCCTGTAGTCCCAGCTACTTCGGAGGCTGAGGCAGGAGAATGACATAACCCGGGAGGCGGAGCTTGCAGTGAGCTGCCATCCGCCACTGCACTCCAGCCTGGGCCACAGAGCCAGACTCCCTCTCAAAAAAAAAAAAAAAAAAAAAACCTCCCAAATAAACCTCTTCTGTTCAATGCCTCTACTACCCATAATGATACATATGAGCTACACTGGATCATCTCCTTTGAGAATATTGATGATGTTATGTTCATCTATGGAACTCCCACTATGTTCAAAGTAGTGGTATCCAAAGGGTAAAATTCCTAGTACGTATGAATAAATAATATATTTTATAAGGGAAACCAAAGATTCTTCTCTCATTTTGATTTTCCTTTTCAATTCATGTGGCAACTGACATTATTTTTATTATGGGCTATAGTTTCCTCCATAACAAATAGATGTATTGTCAGGTTGGTTCTAGAGATTTTGGGAGTACCTCTCTACTCTGGAAAGGTTACAAATACCCGGATTGAGGACTGGGAGCTTGAGCCAGAACTCCATTAGCTTTAGGGTGATTTCAGTGTATTTCTGAAGAATGAGTCCAAATGGAATAATATTTGTTTCTGGTACTGTTAAGTCAGGTCCGAAACTTTTTTTTCTTACATCAAGATGGAGGAAGGAAGTGCCAATACCAGGAGAAAAAGAAAAAAAATCTATTCCTCAAAGGCTGAGAAGGAAATTTAGGAAAGCTCCAAACCATTAACTGAGGATACTAAGAAACCAGGTACTTAAAATCTTTTGATTTAATTATTTAAAAAAATGACTTTATTCATCTAAGTTGTGAAATAATTTTCATTAGGAATATACTAAGTGTTAATAATAATTTGATTGGAATGGCGTAATTCAACAACTAAAAGGTGAAATCAAGGGTTGAACTGACTTTTCAGTATGCGTGTATACATACATTTATGTTTGTATGTATACATATATTTTAATTAAATGTTGAGAAATTACAGAGAGAGATAGAGCTGTAGCAATTGAAATCATGTTTTTATCATTCTTGTCTTCTTTTGCAATATAAATGAAGATTGAAAAAATTTTAGTAGACTAGTTGGCCATGAAATGGTCGTTTTTCATGCATGTTTACTAAACTCACACATTTAAGAAAATATCTTCAGGCTCTTCAGCCTATTCGATTTTTCTTTTTAATTATGGGGTGAAAATGCTTATGAACAATTTGCAATGTCAATTGACAGCCTCCATGTGAATGGTTTATCTCTCTCACATTAATATGTGCAAAATATTATTGCTCTCTCTTATGCATATCTAGCAATACCAGCATCTTAGGGACGTTCAAACAGGTGTAAAGTTAAGGGAAGAGTTTCCACTGCATTAAAAAATATTTTTGTATTATTTTTATGTTACTGAGATTTATTATCAAACTTGCTTTCCAACATTGCTTTCTAATTGCTCCAAGCTTTCAAGAAGCCAAAACTTTGGAAGCTATGGCAATAATCCATTTTTAATATACCCAAAGAACAAAATAGGTATGTGTGAAGGTAAGTGCAAAACTTAAAATTTGTTGTTACCCTTTCTCTGAAGCAAAAAAGCTCTGAGTTTGAACCCTGGTGTATTCTCTTTTTGAGTGGACAAGTTATCTAACCTTTTCTACCTTTCTAAATCTCTCTAAAATTTTTGTGAGAATAAACATACATAATTTCATGTATACATATATTACCTTACAAAAATAAGGCACTGAAAAAATGATTTTTTGTGTGTTAACCGGAAAAGTGTGATTATAAGGACAGGAAGTGGCATCTAAATCTGTAAGTATACGGATGCTCTTTTTCTGTAGTAGACATAGGCTGTTTTATATTTTCCTAAGCCACAACAAATGTAAAATAAGTTCGTATGTATTAAAATATAGTTGACTCTTCAACAACATGGAGGTTAGGGCTGCTGATGCCCCATGTAGTACAAAATGTTCATATAACTTTTGACTCCCCAAAAACTTTACTAATAGCCTACTGTTGATTGGAAGACTTACTGATAACATCAATAGTCAATCAATACACCTGTTGTATGTTATATGTATTACATAGTGTATTCTTACAAGTAAGCAAGCTAGAGAAAAGAAAATGTTAATAAGAACATGAGTGAGAGAAAACACATTTATTATTCACTACGTGGAAGTGGATCATCATAAAGGTCTCTATTCCTGTCATCTTCACACTGAGTAGGCTGAGGAGGAGGAGGAATCGGAGCAGTTGTGGCAGAGGCAAAAGAAAATCTGCGTATAAGTGGACCTGCACAGCTTGAATCCATGTTGTTCAAGGGTCCACTGTATTTTAAATACAGGTCAATTGCCTAAGAGTTAGGATAGCCAGCACTGTTGAACAGGGACAGGTACGATTCTGTGTAATGCAGAAAACTCTATCTCTAGCAATTTTAAAGATAATTCACGAAACAATTTGCATTTGCATTTTTCTAACACTTACCTTTTAGAAATGATGGTGTGTATCCATAAATTCAAGAAACACTTTATTACAGTGGTTAGAGCATAAACTTTGAAAGCAGCCAGTGATGTGCCAGAATCAGCACTTGAGATAATTATTAACTAAATATTCAGATACTGCAAACCTGTAGTTAAACTATGGGTAGCTTGAAATTGGCCATGGTGGAGCATTTACACGGTGGAAATTGACAAATGCTACCAATCTAGGTCTCCCCTGCAACTACCAGCTGGTTTGCCAGAAACTACTGACTCAGATATATATCTGTTTAAATGCCAACTTTAACACTTAATAGTTTATAGCCTTTGGTATCTTCTCTTGCCTTTCTTTCTTGCAACTTCCACATCTAGAAAATGATATGATTATTTATAGTCATAAGGTAGCTTTGAGGATTAAGTTAACTTATATAATCATCCAGTGCACATTCAATAAATGGTGGTCATTTTAATAAGCCAAAATCATAAAAAAGACAACAAGAAAGAGAAAATCAAAAACTAAAGGCATAACCTTCTGAGAAGAGTGAATTTTTGCTGCATTAACAGATATCATGAGGCGAGAGATTCTAGATCTATAATAGAGAAAAAAAATCCACTCCAGTTAATGCTTCACTCACCACGAAGAGACTGTTCGGTGTTTGTTCACTCTCTCCGAAGGGTGGGATAGGAGAATCAGTTCTACTAGACTTGTTTTCTTGGTTAGCTTGTTGCTCTGGGATCGGCTCATATAAGCTATCCATAGAGCCTTCCTGCAACAGGGAGATTTATGAGTCAAGGAATAACAGAATAATAATTTTCCTTGAAAAGATACCTAATTTATCCACCCACCTTTTTATAGTACTTTATTTAAATTATCCTGGGGATATGATTAAGAGTTTACAGGATGCTAATTTTCAACAGTGAACAATACAGTAAAGCCAGGAATTATTACACAGCCAGGAATTATTGTTCCCACCATTATTACAGAGCCAAGAATTTAAAAAAGTGTTGCAGAGGGAGGCACGCAATGAGGGAATTCCTCAAGAGGTAGGTTGAAGATATGAAGTTCAAAAAACTAAATAAATGCTTATTTGAGACACCAATAAACTGTTCGTCGCAGATTTGAGTTACATGTATGTCTCTAATTGGTACCACCTTCTTTTATAAGAAATACAATCTGCTGATCTTAGTTTTCTCAACTGTAAAGTAGCAGTTTCTAGGGCAGAGGACGCGAAGCAAGATGGCAGAATAGAAAGTTCTGGTGATCGTTTCCCCACAGCAAGGACCCCAAGTTAGCAACTATCTACACAGAGAAACTACCCCCCTCATAAGAATCAAAATTCAGGTGAGCACTCCTAGTACCTGGTTTTAACATCAAATCACTAAAAGAGTCACTGAAGAGATAGAAAAAGCGTCCCGAATCTCCGACGCCACTCCTCCCCTACTGTGGCACCTGTGGCCTGGTGTGGAGAGCATCTCTGGGCTCTGGGGAAGGGAGAACACAGCCATTGTGAGGCATTGAACTTAGTGCTGTCCTGTTAGAGAATAAAAAAACCCAGACCAAACTCAGTTGATGCCCAGCCATAGAGGGAGCATTTAAACCAGCCCTAGCCAGAACGGAATCTCCGATTGCAATGGTCCAAACTTGAGTGCCTGCAAACCTTGCCACCCACGGCTACAGCACTCTGTGTCTCCAGTAAACTCAAAAGGCAGTCTAGGGCATAAGGACTGCAACTCCTGTGGGCGTCCCAGTGTGAATTAAGCTCAAAGACTGTAGACTGAGGGGGCATGTGACACACTGAGACACCGGTTGGGGCAGCCAAGGGAGTGCAGGCATCACCCTGCCCCTAACCTCAAGCTGTATATGTTGAGGCTCCAAAAGAGACCCCTTCCTTCTGCTTGAGGAGAGAAGGAAGTGTAGGGAGGCCTTTGTCTTGCATCTAGGGTACCAGCTCAACCACAGCATAATAGGGCATTGGTGAGAGTCATAAGGTACCCCCTCTCTGGGCCCTAGCTCCCAGATGACATTTCTAGGCAACCCTAGGCCGGAAGGAAACCGCTGCCCTGAAGGAAAGGATTCAGTCCTGGCAGTATTCATTACCTGCTAACTGAAGAGCACTTGGGCCCTGAATAGCCAGCAGTGATACCCAGATACTCTGGCTGTGGTGACTACAGAGCAAAACTGCTTCTGTTTGAGAAAATCAGAGGGAGATGCAAAGGGGACTTTATCTTGAATCTTAGGTACCAGCACAGCCACATGGGGATAGAGCATCGACTGGGCTCTTGTAGTCTCTTATTCCAGGACTGTGTGCTTGGATGGCATTCTGGACATGCCCTGGGCCAAAGGGGAATCCAGTGCCCTGCAAGGTAAGTCCCAGGCCAGGTAGCACTCACAAAAAGCTGACTAAGAGACCTTGAGCCTTAAGAGAACATACGTGGTAGTCTCACAGTACTCCTTGTACCTAGGGTGATGTGGCTACAGAATGAGGCTCCTCTGTCTTTAAAAACTGGACAGAAGAGTGGGAAGGATGGTGTGGTTTCAGTGTCAGCTCAGCTGTAATACAATAGAACACCAGGTAGACTTCTAAGGTTTCAGACTCTAGTCCCTGACTCCTGGACTGCACTTCTGGACTCACCCAGGGCCTGGGGGCCCTCAGTGCCCTGAAGGGAAGGACAGAGGCATGACTGGATTTGCCACCTGCTGATTGTAGAGCCCGAGCCCTTTGAGTGAACACAGGCAGTAGCCAGGGGGTGGTTACAGCAGGCCTCGGGCAAGACCCAGTGCTGTGCTGGCTTCAGGTCTGACCCAGCACAGTCACAGTAGTGGTAGCCACGGGGTGCCAGTGTCACTCCACCTCCAGCTTCCAGTAACTCATAACACAGAGGGAGACTCTGTATGTTTTGGAGAAAGTCATAAAAGAGAACAAGAGTTTCTGACTGGTAATCCAGAAAATCTCCCATATCTGGTCAAAAACCATTAGGGAGGTACTTTGATCTGCAAGAACCACAGTGCTACTGGGCTTGGGATATCCCCTAAAGCAGACACAGCTCAGATGACAAAACACAAGTCCTTTCAAATATCTGGAAAGCCTCCCCAAGAAGGACAGCTACGAATAATCCAAGACAGTGAACACTAGAATAAATACTTAACTCCTTAATGCCCAGACACCAAAGAACATCTACTAGCATCAACACCATCCAGAAAATCAGGACCTCACCAAGTAAACTAAATAAGGCACCAGGGAGCAATCTTGGAGAAAGAGATATGTGACCTTTCAGATAATTTGAAATAGATGTGTTGAGAAAACTCAAGGAAATTCAAAATAACACAGAGAAGGAATTAAGAATTTTATCCAATAAATTAACAAATAAATTGAAATGATTTAAAAAAAATCAAGCAGAAATCCTGAAGCTGAAAAATGCAATTGGCACACTGAAGAATGCATCAGAGTCCTTTAATAGCAGAATGCATAAGCAGAAGAAAGAATTAGTGAGCCTAAAGACAGGTTATTTTAAAATACATAGTCAGAGGAGACAAAGAAAAAAGAACAAAAAACAATGTAGCACACCTACGAGATCTAGAAAATTGCCTCAAAAGGGCAAATCTAAGAGTCATTGGCCTTAAAGAAGACATAGGTAAAGAGATAGGGGTAGAAAGTTTATTCAAAAGGATAATGACAGAGAACTTCCCAAACCTAGAGAAAGATATCAGTAGCCAAGTACAAGAAAGTTATAGAACACCAAGCAGATTTAACCTGAAGAAAACCACCTCAAGGTATTTAATAATCGAAGTCCCAATTGTCAAGGATAAAGAAAGAACTCTAAAAGCCACAAGAGAAAAGAAACAAATGATATACAATGGAGCTCCTATACGTCTGGCAACAGACTTTTCAGTAGAAACCTTACAGGCCAGGAGAGAGTAGTATGACATATTTAAAGTGCTTAAGGAAAATAATTTTTACCCCAGAATAATGTATCTGGTGAAAATATCTTTCAAACATGAAGGAATAAAGACTTTCTCAGACAAACAAAAGCTGAGGGATTTCAACAATGCCAGGCCAGTCCTATAAGAAATGCTAAAGGGAGTACTTCAAACAGAAAGAAAAGGACAGTAATGAGCAATAAATAATCACCTGAAGTTACAAAACTCACTGGTAATAGTAAGTACACAGAAATACACAGAATATTATAACACTTTAACTGTGGTGTGTAAACTACTCTTAAGTAGGAAGACTAAAAAATGAACCAATGAAAAATAATAACTACAATAGCTTTTCAAGACACTGTCAGTACAATAAGACATAAATAGAAGCAATGAAAAATTAAAAAGCAGGGAGACAAAGTCAATGTATTGAGTTTTTGTTAGTTTTCTTTTTGCTTGTTTGTTTATGCAAATAGTGTTAAGTTGTTAGCAGGTTAAAATGATGAGTTATAATATTTGCAAACCTCATGATAAACTCAAACCAAAAAACATACAATGAATACACAAGAAGTAAAAAGCAAGAAACTAAACCATGTCTCCAGACAAAGTTACCTTCGGTAGAGAAGGACAGGAAGGAGAGAAGGAAGGAAGGTAAGACCAGAAAACAAGTAACAAATGGCAAGAGTAAGTCCTCAATTATCAATAATAACATTAAATTTAAATGGACTAAAATCTCCAATCAAAAGACATAGACAGGCTGCATGAATAAAAAAACATAACCCATTAATCTGTTCCCTGCAAGAAACATACTTTAACTATAAACACACATATAGATGGACTGGGTGTGGTGGGTCATACCTGTGATCCCAGCACTTTGAAAGGCCAAGGTGGATGGATCACCTGAGGTCAGGAGTTTGAGACCAGTCTGAAAAACCTGGTGAAACCCCATGTCTACTAAAAATACAAATAGTAGTCAGGTGTGATGGCACACACCTGTAATCGCAGCTACTCGGGAGGCTGAGACAGGAGAATCTCTTGAACCCAAGAGGCAGAGGTTTCAGTGAGCCAAGATCACACCACTGCACTCCACCCTGGGTGACAGAGTGAGACACTGTCTCAAAACACACACACACACACATACACACATACACTCACACACACACACACACACACAAAGAGAGAAAATAAAGGGATGGAAAAAGATATTCTATGCTAATGAAAACCAAAAAAGAATAGAAGTCTCTAAACTTATATCAGATAAAATAGATTTCAACACAAAATCTGTAAGAGGCAAAGAAGGTCACTATTTAATGATAAAGGGATCAATTCAGCAAGATTATATAAACATTTTAAATATATATACACCCAACAATGGAGTACTCAGGCAAATAAAGGAAATATTTTTAGAGATAAAGAGGAAGATAGGACTGAATACAATAATAGCTAGAGACTTTAACATCCCATTTTCAGCTTAGGAAAGATCTTCCAGACAGAAAATCAACAAAGAAACATCAGACTGAATCTTCACTATAGAGTAAATTGATCTAATAGATATTTACAGAACATTTCAGCCAAAAGCTGCAGAATACACATTATTTTCCCTAGAAAATGTAGCATTCTCAAGAATAAAATATATGTAAAACAAAAAAGTATTAAAACATGAAATAAATTGAAATAATATCAAGCATCTTCTGTTACCACAATGGAATAAAACTAAAAACTAATAAGAATAGGAATTTTGGAAACTATACAACATGAGAATTAAACAATACACTCCTGAGTGACCAGTGGTCAATGAAGAGATTAAGAAGGAAATTGGAAAATTTCTTGAAAGAAGTGATAATAGAA